ACGTTCCTCAGCTGCTCCTTCACCTGGCTGCTGTCTCCACCACATACTGGATGACCCCAGGACACGATCTCCCCTCCTCGTCCATGGAAAGCAAATGCCCCGCCGTTGGCAGCCAATTTGCCCAGCTGCGCAACCGCAAGCACCACGTTCCCGTCTTGCAGCGGCCTCGCTCAGCGTGGCTGTTTCATGGAGCTGCCGGCCTTTCGCAGTGAGCTTCAACCGGCGCTGGAAATGCCGCTGCGCTACGGCCGTCAGCTCGCTGATTGGCGTTGACGCTGAGACTTCTACAGAGCAACCATCTCCATTGGGCAAGTGCACATGCACCTGCATGGTGCAGGAAGGTTCTGCTGGGTGCATCCTGCTAGACACAAACCTGACAAACAAAGGTTCATTGGACAGCTGAATTTTAGAATGGTTTTGAATCCTTCATGGGCCGCGCGTACTCGAATTTTCCAAAACGAGAATCAAAGACATAATATACATATACATCACAATATATATATATATATATATATACACATCAAATGGGAAGAATGGCGGACGGCAATCAGATTCGACCCTGTGCCATCCAAATCCCTAACCCTTGAAAAGTCCAAATCCTCGGCTGAAGCCAAAGATCGAGATGGGATGCTCTTCGGCGAGGCCAGCGGCAAGTGGCACAAAACCGTCCGTCGCTTTTTTTTGGGGGGGGCCAAACCACAAGGAACAAGCACCCTTCCTAGGTCCCCTGGAGAGGTCAGAATAAGTTGGTACCCGATCTTTTTTCTGCAGTAGGGGAACCCTACCCCAAAAAAGAAACGGCAAAAGGGCACCTAGCTGGGGGACCTTGCCTCCGCTGCCATGGCAGCTGTGGGGAGGCACTTGGAAGATCAGTTTTGACTATGAACTTTAATAGGGGATCCGAAACGGTGGACATCACTCAGATAAGAGTTCATGTCCACCAATCACTTTTGGGGTGGTTCCCTAGTAAAATTCCTGGCCACTTCAGTTGAGCGCCCGATACCCCGTGACTCTTGGATGCCGGTGGCCCAACTGCAGAGTTCACCTGTGACACCCGAATATTTCATTGCACCGTCTACGATCGAATATCACAAGCGAACTAGATTACAAACTCAGCTGCTCATGCACCTGGCTGCTGTCTGCCCCGAATTCTGGATCACCCCAGCTCACAACAGCCCCAGAGGCCAGAATGGCAGCAAAAGCACCGTCGGCTGCTGCTTGGATGTGCTGGACGTTCCTCAGCTGCTCTTGCACCTGGCTGCTGTCTCCGCCGCAATCTGGATCACCCCAAGTCACAACATCGCCGGATTCAAGAATGGCAGCAAAAGCCTGGGCAGTTGCTTGGATGTGCTGGACGTTCCGCAGCTGCTCTTGCACCTGGCTGCTGTCTCCGCCGTAATCTGCACGACCCCAGGTCACAACAGCCCGAGATTCCAGAATGGCAGCAAAAGCGCAGGTATTTGCTTGGATGTGCTGGACGTTCCGCAGCTGCTCTTGCACCTGGCTGTTGTCTCCGCCGTAATCTGCACTACCCCACGTCACAACAGCCCCAGATTCAAGAATGGCAGCAAAACCACCGGCACTTGCTTGGATGTGCTGGACGTTCCTCAGCTGCTCTTGCACCTGGCTGCTGTCTCCGCCATTGTATGGACTACCCCAGGTCACAACATCGCTAGAGTCAAGAATGGCAGCAAAAGAATATTTAGTTGCTTCGATGTGCTGGACGTTCCTCAGCTGCTCTTGCACCTTGCTGCTGTCTCCGCCGTAATCTGCACTACCCCAGGTCACAACAGCCCCAGATGCAACAATGGCAGCAAAAGCACCGGCACTTGCTTGGATGTGCTGGACGTTCTTCAGCTGCTCTTGCACCTGGCTGCTGTCTCCGCCGTAGTCTGCCCGACCCCATGAAACAACATCGCTAGAGTCAAGAATGGCAGCAAAAGCCTGGGTAGTTGCTTGGATGTGCTGGACGTTCCTCAGCTGCTGTTGCACCTGGCTGCTGTGTCCGCCGAGGTCACAACAGTCCCAGATGCAAGAATGGCAGCAAAAGCACTGCCACTTGCTTGGATGTGCTGGACGTTCCTTAGCTGCTCTTGCACCTGGCTGCTGTCTCCGCCGTAATCTGCACTACCCCAGGTCACAACAGCCCCAGATGCAACAATGGCAGCAAAAGCACCGGCACTTGCTTGGATGTGCTGGACGTTCTTCAGCTGCTCTTGCACCTGGCTGCTGTCTCCGCCGTAGTCTGCCCGACCCCATGAAACAACATCGCTAGAGTCAAGAATGGCAGCAAAAGCATGTTTTGTTGCTTGGATGTGCTGGACGTTCCTCAGCTGCTCTTGCACCTGGCTGCTGTCTCCACCACATCATGGATCACCCCTGGTCACTGCCTCCCCTGCTCGTCCATGGCAAAGCAAATGCCCTGCCTGTGGCAGCCAATTTGCCCAGCTGCGCAACCGCAAGCACCACGTCCCCGTCTTGCAGCGCGGCCTCGCTCAGCGTGGCTGTTTCATGGAGCTGCCGGCCTTTCGCAGTGAGCTTCAACCGGCGCTGGAAATGCTGCTGCGCTACGGCCGTCAGCTCGCTGATTGGTGTTGCCGCTGAGACTTCTACAGAGCAACCATCTCCATTGGGCAAGTGCACATGCACCTGCATGGTGCAGGAAGGTTCTGCTGGGTGCATCCTGCTAGACACAAACCTGACAAACAACTGTTCATTGGACAGCTGAGTTTTAGAATGGTTTTGAATCCTTCATGGGCCGCGCGTACTCGAATTTTCCAAAACGAGAATCAAAGACATAATATACATATACATCACAATATATACAGATATATAAATATTATATATATACACATCAAATGGGAAGAATGGCGGACGGCAATCAGATTCGACCATGTCCAAATCCCCAACCCTTGAAAAGTCCAAATCGGCAAGTGGCACAAATCCGTCCGTCGCTTCTTTCTTTTTTTTGGGGGGGCGGGCCAAACCACAAAGAACAGAATTCCCCTTCCTTGCGCAGTGCCATGGCACCTGTAAAAAGGCACTTGGAAGATCAATGTCCTCTTGTTGTTTTTGTTGGGCTGTCAGGTTTTTCCTGGCAACGTTTTTGAGGGAGGGGGCCCAAATGTTGACGACCCCGCCGGAAAAAAAAAAAAAAAAAAGAGAAAAAAAAAAGGAAGAGCCACGTACAGGAGACGTCCACGCACCAAGAGACGTTTTGCGGGGTGTTTTGGGATTTCCGATCAAGGCCAAAAGGAAATCCCTTGCCGCTGGCCCCTCATGTCTCTCACTCAAGTCGCGAAAGGGAAAGCCACGTGATGTTGACCCGGAAATTGGGAGAAGCGGGAAACCACCGGTGCCAAAAAGGGAAGCTCGGTTTAGGGGGATCTGAGGCTAGGTCCTCCAGTTTTGGAGCTTCGAAGTTGGTACCAACTTGTTTTTCTGTCTATTTTAGTAGGGGAACCCTCCCACCCCAACCGAAAAAAGGAAGGTGAGAGGTCGGGCACCAATTGCTGGACCTGGACCTGGGAGGGGTAGCGCACCAGAGGTTTGGAGGTCAGAGTTGGGATCCATCCCAAAGTTCGATTCGGATGGTGCTAGGGTTTGATTCCTTGTCCATTCTTTTTAACCATGGGGTTTTTAACATGGGGTTTTAAATCCTCCAAGAGGAAACCAACAGAAACCATTTACCAAAAGTCTAGGGGTTGATTCCTTGTCCATTTTTTTTAAGCATCCGTTATTTTCTCAAGAACCGGCTCCGTTTCCCCAGGGGAAACAGTTTTAGGTGGGTTTTTTGGTTGAAAGAAGGATGCCTGGGAATAGAATGGGGCAGGTACATAGGTGTCCTTTTGGGGCAAATAGATGGCCCTGGTAGATGATTAAACCACCAGGTAAACCAGGAATCGCCATCTATTTTTCGACCAAAACAACCAAAAAGGACACCTATGGGCAGGTACCCCGAGAATGGTGGATGACTTTGGGGAACGGGATCCCATGTCGATTCGGCGAACCTCGGCCGAATCGAAACTCAACCAGGGCCCCTTGCCGACCCCAAAAACACGGGGCTGTCCGTTTTCAGATCCCCCGCTAAGAGCCACCAACTGTGTGTGGGTTAAATGAACATCCAACCACTAACCAACTAAAAAGCTAACAAGCTAAGGAACCGGATGGCTAGGCACCAACACCATATTAATCAACCCAAGTGTATTCCTGGGGCTATTCAAACCAAATGCGAGGATTCCCCCACCAAACCTGGGCACACACACCCTAACGGACCGGGGTTGATTAGTTTGGGTCAACATCAAGGTGATGTCGAAGCAAAATATCCGCGAGGCTTTTAAAGTTGCGAAACCAAAAAAAGGATTGCTAAGATCGGGCCCGGGTTCCAACCCTTTTTGTGGGGGCCCTGTTTGGCCAACTTTGGAGAATCTTCCCCCAGCCCCTATTGATAGCACGGGTTCTACTTGGCTCTGGGGGCTTCTCTACAAACCAAGTGTTTTCCTGGGGTCTCCAAGCCACATCCAGTCGATGCTTTAGGGTGACTAAATCTGGTTGAATGTTTACAGAACCGGATCATTGTTGTTCCTCATTGTTGGACGTGACAAAAAGTTTGGCCAAGCTTCGAATCATTCTTCTTCGACACCGAAAAGGGGTTCTAATCTGGCGGTGTCGTGAAGGGGCCCCGGACTCCAAAAAAAACGTTCCTTCTTGTTGGATGCCCTGCTGGCCTGTTCAGAACCCCTGCCAACGAAAAATACTGATTGGCAGTTCCAACTTGGCACTTCCTTGGGCCTCCAGTTTTGGAGGCTAGAGTAAGTTGGCACCCACCTTTTCTTCTCAGTCTATTTTAGGGGAAGCCTCCCCACCAAAAAAAGAAACGGTAAAAAAGGGCACTACTGGGGGACCTAGTCTTCCTTGGGCCCTCCATAAGCCCCAAAAGCTCGGGGCAACTCCAAAGACTCTTGCCGCCCATCGAAACCGAAACCGACTCGCCGACTCGCCTTGGAGCTTGGCGACGTGGGGGCCATCTGCTCGGAGACCCCCTCCGCTGCGACCCGAAAGGAGGGGAAATGGCGGCGATTTGTTGAAGCGACGGGTGCTGGTTTTCTGGCCATGGTCAAAATCCAAATCGTACCCCCAGTGAACATCCCAATCCAACCACTAAAATCGGTTCTAAAATGGGTGGTGAATTCACCTACCCCAAAATGGTACCATTGGTTTTGACCCACAGCCATCTGGTTGCTCCAAAGCGAAAAACACCTTTGGTGAAAAACCTTTGGTGAAAAGCCTTTATTATTATTTTAAAAAAGGTCCTCAAATTGGGTTTGTTTGCGGGCTCGTTTGCAAAAAAAAGGCACCTTTCCTGGGCTCCAAGTTGGGTAGAGAGGTTAGAATAAGGGTACCAACTTTTTTCTGTAGTCTATTTTAGTAGGGGAACCGAATCTCCCAACCAAAAAAGGGGTGAGAGGTCGGGCACCAATCGCTGGGGGACGCTTTCGTTTCGTTCTCAAGATCTCGGAGCTGACGTTTCGGACATGGCTGTGGGTCAAGAATAGGTACCCATTTTGGGAACGGTAAATGGACACATGGACTAAAACCTGCAGTCCAATTCCTGCTAGTCTCATTTGACTAAACCCGCACAAAAAACCTGAGCTAGGGCAAACCGCAAGCTGTTGGTCCATGTTTCGTAGGGCAACCCATGGTGGAACTTCGTGGGCTTCGGATCTCCTGCAGCCACCGCTCCAGGCGGTCCATGAGCTGCTGGTGCTGCCTCTCGAGAACCTCGGGCGGTTCAAGGAACTTTTGACACTTTTGACTCGGGACTCGGGGGCAGTCCGTTTTGGTAGGGGAACCTTCTCCTGGTGGCGTTTTCAAGGGGAGTCCTTTTGGTAGATGGTTTCTGGTGGTTTCCTCTTGGATGGTTGATTTTCGCGGGGAATCTGAAAACTTTCTAGGGGAACCTTCCCCATTCTAAACCCAGGCATCCCTATTTCTAGCAAAAAACACCCAACACTCTGGGGAAACAGAGTGGAAACAGTCAGCTTTTGAAAAGAACTACTCACTGGCTGAGTGGATGGCCCAAAAAAAGTTCAAACTTTGTATTTGCCACTAAAATGGTCCAGCCCCAAAAAGTTTAAAGTTCATGAACTCAGGAAGTGAGACTATGGTTGAAAAGAATGGACTTTTGGAATCAACCCCTAGACTTTTCTTAAATGTTCTCTGTCGGTTTCCGCTTGGATCGTTTAACGCCCCATGCTTTGTTGACGTTGGGTTTGGGGAGCAAAGATTTATTCTTTAGCAGTCAAGTGGATGGACTTCAACCACTAAACCACAATAAGCAAAAATGTAAAGAGTGTTTCCCAACAACAAACATGCATGTTTGGAGGATTCTTATGTTTGTTGATGGGTTTAGCACCCTTTTGGATTGGTTTAAAAGGAAATCTAAAGAAAAAAAACAGCCCCATTCTTTGGGGTCCCTGTTTTGGAGACCCACCAAAATATGTCCTTTGATGTTTGCTGGTTGTTTTTTTCTTTTTTCTTTTTTCTGGCGTACATGGATGGAAGAAACCAGCCACCAGAACTCATCCATTTCGAACTCCAAACCGATCAAAAGGACGCCGTGCGCTTCGATTCTGTGCCCTTCGAGATGGCCCAAAAGGGTGGGACTGGATGGCGGCCAGAACCTCAAATGCCCGAAAGCAATCCCCGAACTCTCCAACTGTTTTGCACCTCCCCGAAAAGTGGTTGGAGTCCTGTATTTCTGGGTATGTCTTAAGAGTCTTGGGAGCATGAGTCAGTAACCCTGATGCATGTTCGCCTGGATTTTCGAAGGTTCGGTGTGGCAAAGAGTGATTCGGACTGCCTGAAAGGATGGCCATGCCCGCAAGCCATTCGGGCCTGTGTTTTTGTTCAGGGACTGTTTTGCAAGCAAACCCAAGGAAAACCTCCCTCTCTTTTCGCTTTTTTTTGGGGGGGGGAGTACCCTTCTTTTGAGACATGTGGACAAGATCCATGAGCCATAGGTCGCGAATGGCTCGCTTTGCTAACGAAATCCCCGCAGATCGGAAGCACCCGGGCCCTATGGTTACGATAAACCACAGGGATGTGTGTGTGAAATGACCGCTTCTGAGTTACAACAAAACGGGCTTCCCAAAGACGAATCCCATATTATGAAGCGCGAGATTCCCTTGTCACAGAACTGGGGGTTTATCCCATGATGTTCACGCATCTCTGGTTGGGAGAAAAAATAACATGTAAAAGGCCAGCAAAAAAACATCCTCCATAGAACAAGTCACACCCGAACACAGATTGGCTGTTGGGCTTCCATGGTTTGACTCTTATTGATCTTAGACTCAAAGTTCTCAAAGGGCTTGGTTGCAGAAGCATCTACAGGAAATGGCCCCAAAACACCCTCAATAAGCTGTTTTCTTGTAGAATTTCATTTAACCCAACCCTTTGATAGATTCAATCTGGCCGATTTAATAAGGGGGTACAAAAAGAGATCCGGATCCTCTCTGAATTCCAACCTGATCAAATTCACCAGGTGCGGAATCAACTGGCATTCTATCTCGCAACCCAAATGGATATCTCAAAATACTGGACCCCAAAAAAGGGTCGGTGTCCTTTTGGTGTCCGTTGAAGCCACCACCAAAAAGGGTACCCTCAAAGAAAAACACACCCCAAGTGCAGAGCGTGGCACGTCCGGTTTCATTCCGTGCCTTTCCAGAACACAGAACAAGCAAGCACCCCCCCTGGTTGCTGGTTGCTGGTTTCAGAAACAGAAGCCAACTCTTCCACCGGAAAACTTGGTTGACGTTCGAAAGGGAGCAAAGAGGTATTTTTTAGCAGTCAAGTGGTTGGATTTCAACCACTAAACCACAATAAGCAAAAATTGTAAAGAGTGTTTCCCAACAACAAACATGCATGTTTGGAGGATTCTTATGTTTGTTGATGGTTTTAGCACCCTTTTGGATTGCTTTAAAAGGAAAGCAGAAGAAGAAAAAAAAACATTCTTTGGGGTCCCTGTTTTGGAGACCCGCCAAAATATGTCCTTTGATGTTTGTTGGTTGTCCCTGGCAAATGGATGGAATAAACCAGTCACCAGAACTCACCGAAAAAAATCGGACCCACCGAAGGCAACCCCGCCTCCTCAAACATCTCGTACATCTGCTGCTGCTCCATGGCAGCTTGTAGCCCGTGCTGCTCCATCGTAAAGTGGTTTTGCGCAACTGGTTCATGGGTGGTGTTACCTTTTTTCCCGCTGTTGCGTTCTTGGTTGTGTTGGTTGGGGTGGTGTTACCCTCTTTTTTTTCGCTGTTGCGGTGTTGGTTGTGCTGGTTGTGCTGGTTGTGCTGGTTGTGCTGGTTGTGCTGGTTGAGTGGGTTGAGTGGGTTGTGCGCTCTCTTGTCTGTTGTGTTTCCTGTGTCTTGTGTGTTGGTGTGGAGTTGTGGGCTCATACGCTGTGATCTCTTTGGGTTGTTGCTTGCTAGCCCCCAACCAATGACCACAGATATACTGTCTCTTCTTTGGATTCGCAGAAGTGGAATCAGGAGCCACAGAAGGAAATCTGCAGACAAAAGGTGTGCCTTTGTGGTGCTACCACTTGTTGGGTTGGGGTAAAGGGAAAGCCACCCATTTTTGGGGTATCCCTATTTCAAGACAAAGCCATGGAGGAACCCTAAAGGATGGACTGTCAGGCACCTGGAACTGTGCAAATTCTCAGAATCACTTGACAAACACCTCATTTTCTTTGCCCTACGAGCTTTTGAGCCAGCGGAAAAAGGGAGATGTCGGAAAGCGCGGCTGAAAATGGGGTAAATGTGAATCAAGGGTACCCTGGGATCTTTCCTTTTTTTGTGCCACACTGGAAAATATGTTATTCCGACTGGTCCACGTTCTTGCCCGGGCTCCCTTACAGAAAGCGGCCCTCCAAAACTGAGAGGGGTGGAAATTTCCACCAAAAAAGCTGCCATGGATGAAGTACAGCTACCCTCCAGACCCCCTTTTTTCGGGACCTGACAGGACAGAAAGACCCCTCCATGAACATAACCAGGCCTTCAAACGGGCCCCCATGAGCTCCCGGAAAAAAAGGTGGGTGCGGTTGGTGTCCGCTTTTCTCAGCTTCCTCGTGGTTTGGATCGGTGGTGGGCAATTTACCCGAAGGGTTCAAAATCCACCAATCCAAAGCACCAAAGGTTTGCTTGAACATCCATGCATTCTACTGATTTGTCTTGGGTTAAAAGAAGGCCGCCCTTCTGGGCCCGTCACTTCGACTCCTCCTGGTGCGCGAGTGGGTTCGATGGCCAATATGTGTGAGCACGCAGGTTCACGTATTTTTGCTGGGAATTAGCCTGGAATCCCAGAAAAGCCAGGGTCCTCTAAAACGGACGTTGTTTAGGTTTCACCCTAAACTTGGTAGTGTATGCCCCGCAAATGATGTGTGTGTGTGTGTACTTCAAAAAAGGGGAACCCTGAAAATTACGGGCTTCCTTTTTGTTTCCCTGTAAACCAACCTGAAAGGGAAATCCGGCTGCCCTTTTGAGGGAATGTCTCACTTCAAAAGGGAGTCCGGATAGTATTCCCAACCAAATTCGGAAAAGCGAGCCTCGGATGTGCAACCTGCTCCTGAAAACTGGACCCCCAAAATGCGGTTCCTTCCGATCATTGGCAGAGGCTCTGGAGGAGGCTCGGGCACCTTCATGGCACTCCGTGGAGGCCACATGGCGCTCCCTGAAATGGGAGTTGATCACAAGGTCCTTTAGCATGACCATTGCGTTGAAAAGCCAAATAGATAAGTGTTTTTGGATACCACATGCGAAAGGTTACCCATGGTCATTTGGGGCCTGAACGCGACATTGGTCAACCCCCACATGGGATTTGGGTGAGTACCCCCCATGAGAAAGTGGCATTCTGGTGAGTGTGCCGAAACGTCATTCTCTTTGCTACCGTAGACGACTTTGTTGACCGTTGCTCGGTCACCAAAGAATTGCCTTAGCTCGTCAACCTCTTTTAGGGCCCCACCAACAGACGGAACCCATCACATTCCCAAACGCGTTTTTTGCAGCCTTACCTCCGTAGGACCTGAAATTTCTGGCCCTTCAAGTAGAGGCCTGTTGAGATTTCTCCTTTGAGTTGGAGGATACACCAATCCTGATTGCCCTTTGCAAGCTGAAACCAGTTGTCCTGGAAACCAGAAGTGGAGGCCCTCTGAAACCCCGCGAGAAGAGAAGGTGTTGTTCTCCAAACCCAAAACAATGGCTAGGTCCTCCAGTGGAGAGGTTAGAACAAGGGTACCAACTGTTTTCTGTAGTCTTTTTTTAGTAGGGGGAACCGAATCTCCCAACCAAAAAAGGGGTAAAGCATCTAGCTGAGGGTTGCTCTAAATGTCTCTTGGCTAGTTTCGCTTTTAGGCTTCCGCAGCGCTTCCGCGACCAAACCCGTTGACGTTTTCTCAGCCGAAGTGGCTGCACATGGTGGTTCTTCACGCGTAGTACTAGTGTGGTACGCGAAGTACACTTCCGCAGCTTCAGCTCGAAAATCGCAACTTTGCAGTACAAGCGCAGTACGCGAAGTACACTTCCGCAGCTCCAGATCGAAAATCGCAACTTTGTAGTACAAGTGTAATACGCGAAGTACACTTCCGCAGCTCCAGCTCGAAAATCGCGACTTTGTGGTACCAGTGCAGTACGCGAAGTACACTTCCGCAGCTTCAGCTCGAAAATTCGCAACTTTGTAGCACAAGTGTAGTACGTGAAGTACACTTCCGCAGCTCCAGCTCGAAAATCGCAGCTTGGTAGTACAAGTGTAGTGCGCGAAGCACGCTTCCGCAGCTCCAGCTCGAAAACCGCAACTCGATGGTTAAGACCTTCAGAGCGACTCTCACATACAAAGCTTCCGCGGAGCTTCCGCGAAGCTTCCGCGAAGCTTCCGCGCTGCAGTCAAAAAGCAAAACACGTTACATATAATTTCATATAATCATGCAAGCATGGGACCCAAACACGTGCCGCTTGTTAGTCATAAGCTTCCGCCGCGCTTCCGCGGAGCTTCCGCGACTCGAACCCTACACAAACCGCCCCAAAAAAACGCACCTCATTCTAAAAACCAAAGCAACCTGGAAACCCATATGTGACGTTTTTTTCTGTCCATACGGCTTGGGCCACAAAAAAATGACCATACGGTTATTTACGGCTTGTTGTCAACAATTTGTTGAAAAAATACGGGTTGCATACGGCCAAATACGGCCACCGGCCAGCAAAAAATGACCATACGGGAAAAATGATCCAAATACGGGTTCCGTCCAAAAAAAAGCGGATATACGGCTTTCCAGGAAGGGTTATAGAATGACTCTCAGCTGGGGGACCTAGCAGTTGTCCTGGAAACCATAAGTGTAGTAGGCTTTCTGCGAAGGTGAGGCCCTCTACCCAAAACAATGGGCAAAATGGATGCGGCACGGTCCGGGCGGATCGAAGGCCAATCCTCGGAGTCCAGGGTGTCCAAGTGCACCACCTCCGACTTCGTGCGGATGGGCTCCGTCTTGGGCCTGAGTCCGACGAAATGCTCCCCCCGCGCGAAGCACGGTCGAAGGAATGCTGGGCAAAAACACACACACACACACCGGAAAGGAACACTGGCGCCCCATTAACATGAATGACATTGGATTTAGGTGAGCCTCCATTCTTAATGGGAGCTTGTGTGCTCATATCGTTTAGTACAGTAGATGCAATATCGACAAATGAATCACATGGCTTTTTTGAAGTTGGGGGTTCTTGACAATGGGCCAGGGCGGGGGCGGGGGGTCTTCGCTGCTTCCCTGAAGGCCAGGCTTGTCAAACGAGAGTCTTGTCAAAGGGGGGGAGGGCTTCTCCTTGGCTTTCCCATGTTTGTTTGGGGGGGGGGGGGGTGGTGTTGGTTTAGGGGGTTTAGGGTTGTTAGAGTTGGTTTAGGGTTGGTTTGGGGTTGGCTTGGGCTTGCTTTGGGTTGGTTTGGGTTGCTTTAGAATGCTTAGTTCAGGCGTTGTCCATTTAGAAGTGGCTCACACTCGGCTGAAGGTTGATTTAGGGCTCGTTTGGGGTGGGTGTTTCCGGGTTGGTTTACGGTTGGATTAGGGCGGGTTTAGGGTTGAACTAGGGTGAGCTTCGGTGAGTTTCGGGTTGGTTGGGGGTGCTTTTCGGGAAGGAAATTTGTCCGTTGCCCGGGAATGCCGTTTTTAGACATCGACAAGCAGCCGTTGACTCATCAGGACGTCCCCAAATCGCCAGATTTCATGGGATCCCAAACGCTCCCTGCGTCCCCAATGGGGCCTTATTGCCTTTTCGTAGGGAAATGGGGGGAGGAGTATCGGTTAGGGGGGATTGGAATCTTATCCATAAATGGCTTTGACCTCGTGACTCTCGAGTTTGTCGCGAGTTGGATGCAAGTTCGAAATCCATGTGGGAGTGTCTTGAACTAGGGACGGTGGTTTTCCTGGTTTTCTTTCTCAAACCAAACCCAAAAAGGGTGCCCCGAGCCTCCAAACCAGACCCATGCGTCTTTCTCGGGATCAACCCATTGGCCTTGAATTCACTGGACTTCCCAGCGCGTCTCTGCACATCACTCCTGCAGGTCCACTTGGGTTGCTCCCAAAACTCAGTGTGTGGTTGCCCCGGAAAAAAAAAGAGACGTGAATCTCCTGTTGAAGACCAGCGTTTGGAGACCCTAATCAACCAGATCCAAGACTTTGGGGTGGTCCACCCCGGTCATACCAATGAAGCCCACCAGGCCGCAGCCGACCTTTCGGGAAAAATGATGGGCTTCTCTGGTAGATGGATGGCACCTAGCCTATTACCCATCTAAACCAGAACCCATCTGGCTGTGGGTCAAAACCAATGGTATCCCATTTTGGGGTAGGTGAATTCACCACCCATTTTAGAACCTATTTTAGTGGTTGGATTGGGACGTTCACTGGGGGTACGATTTGGATTTTGACCCATGACCAAATGACCATTCCCCCCATTGGATGTGTTGCTCCATATGGCATGGCCACAGTTGATACCTGTCAGCGTCCTGCCAATTTGTGGTTTGGATTGGTGGTGTGGAGGGATTTCGGGTGTCCCAGTTGCCCTAAACACAAGAACCAGAGGTTCAGATCCAACTCCAAACCACCAAAGGGTTACCTGGGATTTCTACCTTGAACATCCAGCTTCGGGTGTCTCTCGAAACATCCCGAAAACAGTGCCAGAGCCGAAGATCAGAAGTGGGGTACAAAGAAAAGCGCTTCGCCCTTGTCAAACATGCGTCGCCCCGTGTTCCAACTTCAACTGAGTCGCAATCAAAACCTGGTACTAAAATGGTCGTAATCCCAGAACCATGTACAGGAATAAGAAGGCGGAATTCCGCGGCTATTTATGGCAAGGGGATCGTCCCTGGCTAACCTTCATCTACCCGAATCGGTTTTGGTTGTGGCTCAATGGTTGGTTTCCCTAAGACAACCGAGTTGGGTCCAGGCCAAACCAGCCAGCCCGGGCCTAAGGGATACCAAGCCGCGCGTAGCGCGAGTGTTCCCAAAATGGCGCAAGGGTCTTCCTTTGAGCTTCTCTTTAAAGCCACAAGGAGTTCTCTCAAAGACACTGTTGGTCTCCCTTTGACAGGGAAACCAGACATAGAAACCAGCAAAAACATGGTGTGTGTGTGTGTTTGTTTGGCTTCCCAAGCAAAAAACAAAAAACAAAAACAAATACAAGGGGCTTCCAAGTCAAAAAAAAGGAAACAGACCCCACATGAAACCAGGAAGAAGTCCCGAACCTATTGGGTCAAAATCCAAATCGGTTAGCCCGCAGTGAACATCAACCAATCCACGCACTAAAATAGGAGCCCTACAATGGGTGAATTCACCTACCCACAGCCATATTTTGCCCAGGGCCGGCAGCTCGGCCCCCCAGCAGCTCGGCCCTTCTCTGCATCTCTTTCTCGATGGCCTGATTCTTCTCGCTTCGGCGACGGTCGCTTCGGGTCGCGTCAGCCGAAGTCGGAATTGAGGGACGTCGAAAACGGCGGGCAATGAAAAGAAAAGGAAACATCCTTGCTCATAGTCAAGGGCAAATATGGCCCCTTTTCGAGTGGAGTTGCGAGGTTTGCCCTTTGCGCGGGTGAGCAAGCTGAGGCCGGTTCCAACCCCACTCCAAAACCCACATCCCTCTTGATCGCCCGGCTTTTGGGCGGGGTGTTCCAATCAAGAACCCTTTGCGACCCTCCACATTTGGGGGAGTCCCCATCCCATGGCGACCCCAGATCCATGAACCTGGCGCATTCGCTTGGGGGCTGTTCAAGTAAAGCATCCCCCACAATCAGAATCAAGGGGCCAAGCTTAAAACGGGTACTCTCAAGACCAAAAAAAGACGCAAACTCACACACACACACACACATACAAACACACGAAACACACACGAAACACACACCAACACACACACACACACACAAAAGAGAAAAACCATCTGAGACAAACATGGGTGTCTCTAATTTGTCTTTGTCCTTTCCTTTTTTTTCCCCGGGCCGCCGCGCGCGCGGCGCAAAACGTACGTCCCACTTCGACCGCTGGGGCCACTCCGACCGCCGGCCTCCCTGGTCTCCGCTTCCACGCGCCGGAGCGCGTCCTCCGCGGCGCGGTTTGGGCGAAGTTGGGTCTCTGGTTGGGGCTGCTCCATTTTCTTGGTCGCACCTTTAAAGGGAAAGGGAAGAAAAAGTGCCATGGATGGAACTCCATTTTTTTGGTCCCACCTTTAAAGGGAAAGGGAAGAAAAAGTGCCATGGATGGAACTCCATTTTTTTGGTCCCACCTTTAAAGGGAAAGGGAAGAAAAAGTGCCATGGATGGAACTCCATTTTCTTGGTCGCACCTTTAAAGGGAAAGGGAAGAAAAAGTGCCATGGATGGAACTCCATTTTTTTGGTCCCACCTTTAAAGGGAAAGGGAA